GAACCTTGACCTAGGGAAAGTTGCAGTCGTAGAAAGTCAGTACGGGAATTTATTCCATCTGGGGAGGACAGTAAGGCAAATGTATTTACAGATTCCGGGCCATTGTCATATTCTATAAACTTCATATACCACGAATGCGAGGCATGACCTAGGGAAATCCTGAATCACGACTACCTTATTGGTTTAATCTGTCCACATTTTTGAAAGAAAGATCCATGAAGGTATTACGGTCACGTGTACATTTTCAATTAGCAAACAAGGTTTCGATATTATGTGTATTTTAATGGCACTTAACTGGGGAGGGTTAATTTTGAATTAGTTGGATTATTTACCGCTTATCATATTAGACTCATTTTACGAACCTCCTCCCATTAAAGTGTACAAAAGTATTTGTAGCGCCTTAGAAGTAGGATTAAATACATTTTCCAGATAGTTAATTCAGGATCATTATAGGTACTTAAGTGCATTTTGCTAGTTTATCTTTATTGCGCAACCGAGTCCATAGTGTAATAATTTTATTTTGAATTTTGCATGACCCCAAATTATGAACAGGAGCATAACAGGGGGTTAGTATCTTGGTGTGTGGAGGGTAAAGAATAACAATTTTGAATTCAGTCCAATGGAATAAGCTTTTCTGGGCCAAAGAGCATTTAAAAATCAATCTTATCCCAGAGAGAATAATAAGGAAAGTTAAAATATTTTTGTTCAATTGAGCTAATCGCTGCAAAGAAAGGGAATATAAGATATAAAGTAACTTGTAAAAATTGTAATTAACTTATACTGGGTAAACGAAAAGATTCTTCAAAATTAGTTTCAAAGAGCACATGGTTTTCTGCGATAAAGCATTGCCACACATATGCTAGTCAAGAGTCAAGTGAGTAAATAGTAGGAATATAGTAAGAAGCAATTAATTGATTTAAATGTACCTGGGTTACAAGAATATCAGTTGTGATGATCTGCCTACTGGAAAAGAGTTAAGAAAATCTCGTTGTGTCCAATTTCTAAATACCTTCTGACGCAACCAGGGACAATATGACTGCTGGAATTCATCCCATACTGTTTCTGTTGTTTTACTGCTCGTGAACTGTTGCTATGAATCCTTAAGATAAAGGGCTCTTAATTTCCCGTGACGCACTCTACTCAAATAGGCTTTTAAATTAATAGCAGTAGACTCATTACGTGTGAACAATGAGTCCAATTACGGATACCATGATACAATTGTAGAAACAGTTTCGAAACGTAATTTCGTTCTAATGGGCTCTGTGAAAAAAGCTAATAAATTTTGCACAAAATGCGAACGACCGGTGTGGCAGTAAATCGACAGGCCAATTAGCGTAGGACACTCGAGTACACCTACATACAGTAATTGTTTGCTTTGATTTTAGCGTTAACACTAAAAGCGGAACCTTATGAAGTATGCAAGAGATCAAAAAGCTCCGTGACGCATTGATTCTAGTAACACCGCAAAAGACAAACATTTCAAAACCACTTAGCGGGCGTATAATTTAACTATCAGATTGCAGCTTGACATGTCAGAAGGTAGGTGTAATGGATTTTCGAAGCTCACAGCTTACAAATACAATTCACGTTTCGCACCTTTGCCACATAGACATTAAGCTTCAGTATACACGCTTTGTGTTGTTAGTGTATGAAAAATTGTCAAGACTTAAGAAAATCCCCATTTCACATGCATGGAAGGATGTTCGCAGAATGTAAACCTGCTTTGCATAACGTTATGTAACGTTTCATAATAAAAAGAACGGAATTTATACAGTCACCCACCATTTGGATTATAGGGAGGAATATTTGAAGCGCCGTGTTTTCTAAATTGACACTGATTGAAAATTCGAGGTTGACAATAATAACAACGTTTGAAACTTTCACGGTGGATTTATATACCTACATATGTTTTAGGTGTGAGTATTACCTACACTGACGTCAAATATGTAATTTAAGCATGAGGGAATTGAAAACATGGTTTTGTTGCAAGATGAAAATTTCCTAAATCAAATTGATTTAGCAGAGCTCGTAGAACAATATAAACGAAAAAATTAATCAAATTTCTTCTCTTTACCAAATAGACTATACTAGACTTTCGCTGTAGGATGAATTATATGCACCAAAAGATGGTAAGATATGCGGATGTACATATACATGCAGTAAATTAGTGCGAAATATGGAAACTGTTTTGGTATACATATGCAAAATCATGTCTTGTATAATTTCCAAGAAAATAAACATATAGTGCATCTTCAAACTTTTGCCGCCTTACATCTTCCTTGGCCTCTGTTTGCAGAATTCCAGATTCACGCCTAATTTTATGTAAAATGTGATAGTATTAGGTACCCCTTCTCACATGATGCTTACGTAAATAAATATGTACAATATGTAGATACTAAACTTCATACATATTTTTGCATAAAAAGGGATTGAACCGCCTTTTTTTAAATTAAATTATTGGTATTAAGTGAATATGAACGTTGTTAACAAGAGTTTAAAAATGGCTTTCGGTTAACCCTAGGTATATGAAATGATTGTTTTATATAACTGGTAACACTCCGAATGAAAAAATTGCTCTTTCCCCCATTTTTACTTGAAAATTACATTTTTTGGGGTTTGATTTCGATTTTTTAGTTAATAAAAAGAAATAGATTTTAAATTAATACCTTCGAGCCCATTTACATAGACAGTTTTACTGACTAAAAATAAAAAAAAAATTATCAAAGTCCTCGTACGCCAGGTTTTGAAACCCATCAATAAGATCTGGCCCTGGGTTACCACATTTCCTTTGTCGGTACCCTCTTTTGACATCTCGTTCGGTCGTAAGTCGCATTTGAAGTTTTGACTCCACCATCAGTCATATCCTGCCCGGGGTTACCCCATTCCCTTTGTCGGTACTCTGACGCCCCCACAGTCATATAAATGGGCCATCTTCGTACATTTCGCTAAAACTCGTCCACAAGATATTACTCAATTTTTGGGACATTTCTCATAGCTCGAGCTTCTATTGGCGACACGAGAAAGAGAGCCTTTCGAGCTTTCGGAAACTTTAGACTTTGTGAAAATTCGCAAGCGGAAAGTAAGTTCTGACCGCCCGACGTCGACCACCTCTCGAAGACGCGCGCCTTGCAAAAGGTGGTTAATTTCGCTCATAGGAAAAATAGGAGCAGTGGCGTTCTATTTCAGTTTTTTCGAGTTTATAATACGTATAGGCATTTCGCTTGGCATTCACCACGAAATTAACGTTACCAGGGTGGTACAAAAGGGTTCTGCACCATTGCAGCGGTTTATTTGCATATATTTAAAGGCAGCGGCACTTTTCCGAAGAGAGAGGGAGAGAGAGAATCAATTGTAACCTGAAAGGAATCTCATCCACACCAGTTACTGTAACTTTTTTTGTGTTGCGTAAATTAGCACTCGCTTCTTTTTAAGAATTTGTTTATAGATTTTGATGAAATAACTTTGATATTCCTGAAGTAATCGACCCATCAGAACCATTTGTATAAAATATTCTGTCTTGCATTTCATTCATTGATAAGAATCAGATGCAGCGAAAGGATTTTGGTTATTTTGGTTCAGTGATTGTGAATTTTATTTGCATCTAATTTCAGTTTTACCATTGCTTTGGTTGGCTTGAGATTTTGTTTAGCATTGAGAAGGAGTAAAGAATCTCTAGATAGGAATCAAATTTAGCAGGGATCGGTGATCACTAACTAGTGTAACTTTCCGATGAATGTACTCTTGGTTTGTGTGGTATTGAGAAAAAGATCACTTTTGCTTTTGTCGTTGAAATGGCAAGTTCTAATTTTGCGCAAGATGTTGAGTTATTGGAAAATTCTAAAGTCATCACGCTAAAATTATTGAAATTAATTAATTGTGCCAATTCCGTTTTCCTTCTCGAGGACCGCTGCAATATGCAGTGCATTTTTTTTTCTTTTTATGAGCCAAAACAATATTTGGTATACAGGAATGTGTAAAGAAAAATTGAACTCGATCGTTTGTGTGTTTATTAATATATTCAATCAACTAATGTCTTATGCGTATTCAGAAGAGTTCAATCGAACCAGAACATTAGACTTTGAAGTCCAGTTAGAGGGAGAGGGGAAGCCAAATTTCCGCAAGGTAAGGGGGTAAAAACATTTTTATTACTGAGCTAGCCGTAGCTATACAAAAATTGATAGCTATATTGGGATTTCTGCCAGTGCCGTAGAGATTTAATTTTATTTCATGCAAGTGCAAATGTTTTGCTTCAAATGTTCCAATTGGTCTAGAATTCCTCAAAATACGAAATATTTGCCAGTACGTAAGGAAAGTAGACATGAATATCTCCAAACATAAGTATTATCTCTGATATTTCTGTATGTTCGCCCTTTTACGTTTAATTTGGTTTACGGTTTCAATATTCGCAACTGTAATGTAGAATATAATTTTTGTTTCTTACATCGCAACAAAAATTTTTTTTTTGAGTCGCATTTTGAATTGATCGTATGCAATTCTTAAACGGACAAATAGAAAAGCGAGAGTAAACAAAATATTCCCGAAAATTTATGTAAACAAACAAAAGTATCAAACGAAATAAAGTTTAGGTCTGTTGTTGCGCGAACATCGCGTTTTAAATTTTTCAAGTAAACAAGAGTTTACTCTAAATTTGTTTTATAAAATGGTTATTCCATTAACAAAATGTAAGCAATTTTTGTTTGGGTTTGAATAGCCTAACTCGTAACTTAACGATTTTTCGATAAATGCCCGACACACTAACCGCGCTGAATCTATCCCCCTGATTTAATTATCCGGTTTTGATTTCTTTTACTACACAATATAAAATTGATCAAAAAGTATTCAGCTCGCATCTCCCGTTGAGACGCAATCCAATTCAATAAATTAGGTAATGAAATTCCTCTCAAAGAAATTAAATTATTTTACAGCGTACTCCCTTAATGATCTCATTACCGCTAATAACGTCTGTTTTAGAGACTTTTACACAATTTGAAATTACATACCTTGTTCGCAGACACCAGATCAGGATCTCCAACGACAAGGTTATACCATAACAGCCATAGTAAGTTATTGGCAGCAAAGGAAGCGAATAGATTCATATGTACAGTAATTCTGGCACAACGTAATGACCTGCAAATAAAAAAGAAATAAATGGAAATTAGTGCTACGGTCAACACAAGGGACGACACACTTCGTTATATGGGATTCGGGTAATAAGGTAGGATTTTGTGATGTTTTCGTTTGCATTTACCCTTTTCAGCGCAGAAGTTAATGGAATACGTAATATCTGACCGGGATATTTAGTGTACTCCTACCAAATTATCTTGCTACCCACAGAGCTCATAAATATTAAATTTTTACAGTTCCATTTGAGAGGTATTAGCTTTTTTATGAGATGTGTCAAGAAGTACTTAGCCCTACGTACAAAATTAGACCTGACGTTAAGTATAATACAAAAACCATAGGGTATACCTATAGATTTAATAGGGTTATAACACCGGAAAGAGCTTTTTAAGAACATTCCATTCGGTCACTATGAAGTTACATCTTGCTAATGTGGTAATGGAGGAGTAGGATTAATGCTCTACTATAACCTCTAATGACAGTCTAAAGACAGTATATAACTTACATTTTTCATTTGCGGTTGTTAAAGTCCGATTTCAGACCATTACCACATATTACAACGGTAATGAAATGCTACAGGGACTTCCACTCTTTCAAACATACTCTGTAACTAAATGCATATACCAAAAAAGGCGATTCGCATTCCTTAGATTTTCATCCACTTTAATAATGCAGGGAAATGAAGTGGAAAAGTTTGTATAATGAATTTCCATTTCCATCCTTTTTAATGGAGGTATATTTCATGTCTGAGTAAAGCGTGTGATAAAACTTGAAATTGCTGAAGGCGCATTTTTTGAATTGCAACTGTGAAAGCATTGTAGATTGGTAGTCATAAAAGACATTAACCAATAAACAATTAGGCATCTCCATTTTGGAAGTAACCCCCCCTCCCCTCCCGATGTGGGCGTGAAAAAACTACTCAGTAATTAAATAGGGTTTTGAAAAAATTACAGATGGTCTCACGACACTCCACGAGAGATGGAAAGTCTCTTTATTAAAAAGGGAATTTAGATTTTCAGTGTGAAATTCTTTTGTTTATGTTCTTGAACGAAAGTTTTTCGAATATTAAGGCCAGTTCGGGGAATGTAAAGTTGCCGTGTAGAATTTTACGGAGAAGTGTTTAGTAAAGTTGTGTTTTAATTAAAGGATTATTATTACCTATGTGATAACCCGTACAAGAAACTTAAAATTATATAAGTGTTGAAACCTAAATAAATAGACTTCTTCAAGCAGGAAAGAAAATGTGCTGACCGACCACGTCCATCAATACGTGATGACAAACTTTGCGTTGTATTTGTACTACGTTCTTAGAAAGTAATTTCCAACTGCTAACTAACTAAAGGCGGGTGTCGTTTCTCGAGGTTGAAACAATGCCGAAGATGAGAGCGAGCCACGCCGTAGTGAAAAATGTACGTGTTGTAAACGTAATTTCGGTTTAAGTATTGAAAATAGCAGTCGAGACATACTGTCCGTAAAATTATACTCAAGTTTCTGTCGTAGGATTTGGGAAATTTTGTTTCAAATAGACACAGAAATGAAAAAATTTGTGAATTGTCCCTTTAATTTTAATTATTTATTGTACATTTAGATAGTAATTGTTTAATTAGTTTAATGCTATCTCTTGTCTAAAACGCATAAATAAGTGAACAGGTAAATGAAATTTAATCGTAATAGTTTAATCTGACCCGGTGTTAGTTAAAAATAGAAGTTTTTATCGAGAAAGCTAATTGCTTCTGTGATAACAATACCATGTGCGAGATAAGGAACGCATGTGTTTATCAATACGGGCGACAGAGCAGTGTTTCGTGTATTGCCGGGAAGCTCCGATATTGAATTGATGAATGGAGGTGGTCTCTACTTTAAGTACAAAAAATTGGAAATAAACGAGGCTGTTTTATGGGTCGATTGTAAAAGCGCATGTAATTTTTGCGCTAAATTTGATGGACAGTTTCGCTAAATAAAGAAGTTGTAGGTCTTGCGCCTAAAGTTGCTATTACAGTTATTAAAGAGTTGTTTAATTAAAATCACCCGATCACCCATTATAATTATTGGTTAACCTCATCAAACAAGTTATTGGACAATTAAAGTTATGTCAGAAACAAATGTGAGTTTAAAAAGCTGTTTAGCTCTCTGTAAAGTGTTTGGTTCATCGTTCTTCTCATTGTCCAGCTCCAGACCAGTGAATTTGAATATTATTTACCTGAACTGTGAGTAATTATTTTTCTTGAGATCTCTTGAATTGTTTTGCCGACTTTTGTGTCTTGCAAACGGGGCGTACTATTCAAAGAGCATTGTTAGCCTTACCATTTTTCTTACAGGTTTTGTTATTGTACTAGTTTTTTTTCTTAAAATGTGCTAGAATAAATTCTTTTAATTTTTTTATCCATGCCATTATGTGTCAATTTATTCAAGTAAAGTATTAGTTTTCCCTGTCAGATTTTTCTAACTCCTTTAATCCGAGTGTTAATTTCAATTCAAGATTTGAGTAGTGATTTCATTGGATTTTATGCAATTTGAGTGAAACTTTTGCCTTTTTTCAATTTATAAAAATTTGAAGTCAATGTTAGGATTTTTTTGCTAATGTCAGAACCCAGTCGAGAGAAATTTTGTATTAAAAAAATAACAACAATAAATAAATCCTTGAATTTGGCTGATTCATTATTGAAATAATTCCGAACATTTTAAATTTTTGAACAAACACATTACACATTATGATTTATATCAGAAATTTTAAACGGTTGAATACTTTAAGACTGGATAATCAAAACTTTAGGTTAAATTTTATACAATTTCTTTACATTAGTTTGATTTAATGTTTATTTTTTTATATTTTAACAGAAATAAATGGAACTAATCTTGAATTAATGTCTTCGGGTGCATGTGAGGGGTTAATTTTCTTAACTTCTATATACAGGGTGAGTGAGTGGAAGATTCTTTTGGCAATGGGTATTATTTCTTTGATTACAATGGGCTCGATTTCGGTGTTTGTCTTTTACTTGTGAGTGAAAATAATTTGAGACCGTGATTTTCATACACTCAGTTTAACGATGTTTATTACTGTTCAGTATAATAGGGAAAAAATCCTCAGTAAGCACTTACCCTAATTTGCGGTTATAATTACGTCTCTAAGAAATAGGGTTGATTAAAACGAAATTATTATTGAAAAAATGTTAACAGTTTTTTAGTTACAATTTCACCACTTGACAGGGTTTTATTAAATCTTGCGCGGTTTACTTGCTTACTTTGTTTTTTTACGCTGTGAAGAATGGGTTCAGTCAGTACGTTTATTGTCTTCGAAGGAAATCTTTATTTATTTAGGTTTGCCGCTTTGCACGTGAAGGATTTTAAATTACTCGTACGGTTTGGCACTTGTTCGAAAAATAGAATTCGCGCTCGCAACTAAATCCGAAACACCGAAAATTTAAATTTAAATTCGTCTTTCCAACGAAATATTTGCGATCTCTCCTCGCTCTCTGAGAGATCTCATCTATACAATTTTTTAAAACTGAATAATCCCCTTTTTAATTATAAAGACTTTTTTCTACAACTGTCAAAAAATCTGTCATTTTCTGACGAATTTTGAAGCACAAGTACTAGACTTTTTAACGGTTAATTAATAACTAATTAATTAATCTGCTCGAAAACGTGAAAACAGTGAAAAAAGTATTTCACATTTCTGAAATATGTAGAAGGAAAAAACAAATAGAAGTATATAGAACCCGCATGAAGGTACTAGTTAAAAAGAAGAAGTAATGATGGTTTGACATCTACACAGAACAGAAGTGAAGGCTAGTTTAACACCACCAGAAACCAACAAAATACCTTTAATTTTTTCCTATTGTTGGGAATTACAAAATTACAATTTTTGATCATTCAGAGATCTTCTTACAATGATGAGGGGATTCAAATAAATATCTAATCCATAAGTTGATTTTACTGTCTATGCGTTTTGAGACATTGGAAATTGTTTTAAAAAATTTAAAAAATGGCATCGTAAATTTATCAATTCCTTTTATAATATTGAACATTTTATTTTTTTAAATTTTATTTGTCCCTCTTGTTCTAGGCCCTCAACAGGTTTTCGCCCAATCACAGAGTGACGCATAATTAGAGGTGCCCCTGCAGAAGGTCATAAGTTGCTCTATACTACTCCGGTATTTACCTTACGAATTAGGAAAACTGCAAGAAAACCTAATTTGGAGTAGCCAGGAGAATGCCCGAAACTGATCTAATTCCTATCTCCGCCCCAGATGTAAAATTCGTACCTCAGCCCAGGTTCGAACACCCGACCTCCAGTTTTGTAGCCCAACGCTCTACCAGTGGATTATTTCGCAATCAGGACTGACAGGCGTTTTGAATAATTAACTAAGTTGGGGATGAATATCGGTGTAAAGATCCTAAAAGCATTATTACTGTCTGTTTATGAAATGGCTACTTTTCATATTGACTCACTCTATAAATAAAACTTATAAAAGATTTAAAGAAATTCCTCTGGGAAAGGCAGTAATATAATACATATAATGAATGTTTTTCGGGCAGACACCGAAAGCTTTTAGTGGCGGTACTGCATGTGCGATACCAATTTAAACTAATGGAAATATAATTAATGAACTCTTAAAAACACGATACGCCTGGTGCGTTTTCGAGTAACTGCTAATTTTTAAATACATTATTGTATGTTTTATTCGAAACCCTGCTGGGATGTAAAAGTATCTTTTTTGGGAAATAGTTAATTGAAGCAAAAATTACTGTACGATGGTATGTCGCGAAACTTCTCAATCGAATGCACATAAAAGCTAAACGTTATGTCACTGTAGACAGTTCATATGCAAATTCAATTCATACAATTATTGCTTTCAATCAAGATTGTTTCAAAACTCGATTTTGTTATGCAAATCACGATTGCTATTCTAGTTGGATTTTATTATTAAGGTAACGTGTTCGGTTAGCTATCATAGAATAATAGTATTTTCAACTCGACCAAATCGTCTATCGTACCAAATTATTTCAAAAATTTAATAACATTTCGAATTGAACAAGTTAAGCCAATTGAGATAACAAATTCTGCAAGTCTACTAGTATGTACTCATCATTTGACATAGGTAGGTAATTAACCTTGCGGTATCTGTACTACATTTTGAATAATTCTAATTTCCTTTATATTTCTGAAACAAAATTTATTGCAACTAATTCAAATCAAATCAAATCAATTTTATTCTCCATTGTAAAAAAGCTTATAAAAAATTTATACTTAACTTACTCTAGGAGAAAATGGTGGTAAAAATTACTCCACCACCGACTGCAATTGATTGCAGTTTTGTCAGAACTAGTACTGAATAATACTATGCGAGCAAAATATACTATTCTGGCTGTCGAGACACCTTTGGAATTTTTGTTTTTTATACATGGGAAATCATATTTAACTTGAACTTCCAAAGGCGACTCGACGCCAGTCCTTTTTAGCGCATTTCCACAAAAATAAAAAAAAAATGCGCTATTGTGGCCACTTTGTCCGTCCGTCCGCTAACTTTGCGACGCTACTAGTTTTTTATCTTAAGAGCTATTGTTCTACTTTTTTCGCTATTTGGTTCGTTATGGTGTCGAGTCTTGTACCAAGGAAGGAATTTTTTCTGTACCGCTTACAAAAAAAGTTATTGTAAAAAAAACAAAAAACCGTTTTTTACATGTTCCATAATTTTACACTTTTGCCGTTTATTAACGATCCTAGAGATCGTTTATAATTTTGCATTGCTATCTGTCGCCTGCCGGTTGGTCTCTCCGTCTGTTCCTTTGTCTGTCTGTCCATCTATCTGTCCGTGTGAACGATAACTTTGTTTAGAAATGTTCGATCGCTTTTACATCTCCGTTAGTTATGAACTGAATTGCATGAAATTCAATATGGGCATAGCTTTAGCCATATAATACGCAATGCCAAAAGTTGAATCGAATCGATTCAAAATTCACAGTGCCCTTTTCGCATCTCGACCATTTATAAACCGAATTGCAAACTTTTTTAATTATAAAAGTATTTAAATGAAATTTGATACATAGGCACTTGGAATAAAGGAAAATCAAACGCCAGTTTCAAAATTTGGTTTTGCGCATGCGCAGTGCCAACTTTTTTATTTATGGAAGAATTTAAATGAAATTTGATACATAGGCACTTGGAATAAAGGAAAATCTAACGCCAGTTTCAAAATTTGGTTTCGCGCATGCGCAGTGTCAATTTTTTTATTTATGGAAGCATTTAAATGAAATTTGATACATAGGTGCTTGGAATAAAGGATCATCGAGCGCCAGTCTCAAAATTTTCTTTTGCGCATGCGCAGTGCCAACTTTTTTATCTATGGCACCATTTAAGTGAAATTTGATACTTAGGCGCTTGGAACAAAGGAAAATCTAACATTAGTTTAAAATTTAGGTTTGCGCATGCGCAGTTCCAACTTTCTTATTTAGAAAAGCATTGAAATGAAATTCTTCTCATAAACTGAAATTGAAGTAGCACGTCAAAAATGGATTGCCCATGTGCAACGCTATCTTTCATATTTGTGGCCGGATTTTTACGATTTTAACAGAAGTTGCATCTTACAAATGGGAAATGAATGCAAGTGGAAATGCGCTTTATGTAAATCGTTTACGATTACTTTTTAACTTGTTGAGATTTTCCTTCACTATTTAGTTGTCGAATGCCAGATGATCAGACTTAGCAGCGGACTCGAATATCTGCACACGATTTTTACTACAGAATAGTACCTACTTTTTACAATAATTACGTATTCAATGCTTTGTAGTAATGGTTAGACAAGGATCAAAATGTAATACGTTTATGTTATCGTTGCTTTCATCACCAAATGAGTTTCTGTTGAACAAATCGCGTATAGGTATATAAAACAAAAAGTATCATTAATAAAGTTTATTTATATCCAAGTGACAGGGTACAAAATTGAAGGATTTAAAACTACACGGGCTTTATGTAAAACAGGCCGTGGATTACTCTCCAAACCCAAACTGGCAGGTTTGGTAATTGGACCTAAAGGTAGTTCAATTAAATTATATCGAAGGAAGGGCGCGTTACTGTCTAAGGGATCGTCGAACCAATATTTTATTCCCCCACCTTATCTAATCTACTTAATTAATGACACCCCTTGTATGTACTTTGACAAGAATTATTTGTTAAATCCTCGAAAAATCGCCCTTAATTGAAAAACGAATACTAAACTTGAATAAGTATGTTTGAAACCAAATCAAATTACTTCTATTTGTTACGTTCGGGACTCCTGTAAATCCTATAAGTTGCAAAATTCAATACTTACTTGAAATAGGTAAGGATTCCTAACGAAACGATAAGGGCTACGAGGGATATGCTGTACCCCACGAGATGAACGGTGATTATTGTTTGTCGAAACTGGAAAAAAAATATACGCCAAATATAAAAAGTTTCATAGGCGAAGTAATATGGGCACGTTAGATATACAACGCAATAAAAAGTAACTTACGGAAAGTTCTTCTAAGTTGACGCAGGTTGTGTAATTTGACCACGTTTTGTTGTAGACGGTATGAAAAAACCATTCCCCATTTTCCTCGCATTTTCTGTAAGCGTATCCTGAAAAGAAGTTGCCTAATTAAAATTTCTTTCATTGTTTCAGATTAGAAATTAGAATGCAGGAAAACTTCATAATTATTATTATTAGACGGTAGACGGTGACTATTCAACGCAGTTCCCAAGATTGAGATTGATTTACAAGTGAAGGAGAAATTTAATTCGTAAATGTTTTCTAGATTATTAGCTAATATCTTTTTTTCGAACACTCAGTTTTAGTTACCATCAGATTTTGCTACGCTAAATCACGTTCTGCATGCAACTTCGTTGGGATCGGTTGGATTATGGAGCATTTAGTCACCTGAATTCGTTAGTTTTTACATTATTAGCATAATAATAATAGCGTATATTGCCCAACAGGGATTTTGAGTGGTGACAGAAGTAGTTTACGGCCGAGCCGTTAGGTGTGTCCTTAGTTAATGAAAAGAAAAATTTCCTATTGTACTTAGTTTCGTTTTTATTAGCTGCAATTATTAAAAGGGAGTTCTCTATGCCCCACGCTGTAGTTCGGTTTACTTAGAAAATTAAATAAACCTTCAAATGAAGTAACACGCGATCCCATGTGCCATTGAAGTTTTTTACGATAAGTTTGATCCATTTCCGTACGAATTTTGCCTTTTCGAGCTTTTTCATCATTAATGAATTTGATACGAACTTGAAAGGAACTGGAGTGGAACATGAAACGAAGTGGAGGGGAAAATTTGAGAACCTGAGGAGAACTTGAAAACAGAACTTCAGGAGAACTTCGGAGCCGCGAGGCACTTGAGGAGAATTTTAGGAGAACCTGAGTCGAACTTAAAGGGAACATAAAAAGCACTTGAGAATAACTTCAACAAATTTTATTAGAAAATTGCCTGGAAAATTGAGATAAGCTTGAAGACAGTTTTGAGACGATGGTAATCGTCTTGGTTTAAGATTGAAGAAGAAACTGAGATGTGAATGTAAATTGTAAAGAAATTAGACTGAAACTTGAGAAAAGTTTTGAGACGATCTTTGATTGGAATTAAGGGGCATTTCTTCGAAACATGAAGGGAACCTTAGAACTTGGGTGGAGGGGGAGTTCAGAAATATTTGAGAGTAATTTGAGAGGCGCTAAAAAGAAACTTCGAAAGAGCGTGAGGAAAATTGCAGGAATGGCGGATAAACAAGCAGCGATCTAGTCTTAGTGCCTATAGAAACTGATATTCAGACCACCAATGAAACAGATGAAATCATGGGTCCGTGAAATTCTAGTGTCGACTTGAAATGAATTAAGTTCTAAGTATGTCATAATTTGTGCACAATTTATGCTAATTTGTGCTGCTAATTTTAAATTTTGTGTTTATCACGACATCACGTTAATGAGTAATTTAAATCTTTAAGATACTTTTTTCCCTTCACTATAATTTTGTGCTCATTTTTTGTTAGCGTGTGCTACTAATTTAAAATTAGCACAAAAAAATGCGTCTTGTGTTAAATCCTAATCGCTTAGTCGAACTATAAACTGTATGCATAATTAATTTCAACTATATTAAGGAAAAAACGCTACTGACTTATAACATTTAAAAGGTCAGCTGTCAAGATGCAATAAATCCACGATCTCCCATTGAGTTTACCCCATTTAGACCAACGAACCTTCTCATCATGCCAGCTGTCAGTTAATATTCCTTCGTTCAAGCTTGGGTGATTAATTGATTAGCAAATTGGGTTTATTACGTACGATAACAACAAAGCTGCGATATAAAATATATCCTAGCTATGCTTCGGCCGAGGTACTTTTACACTGTCTCCTTCTTAAAGTTAGCCCGATTTGCGACAAAGTCATTGTGGTTTCAGCTTCTAAGAACATTTTTTTTCCAGAAAGAAAGTAAGTTCTACTGCGATTAGGTAAAACGTTTTACATATTAAACGGAAGGCAAAATGTAATGAATGAGGAACTTATTAATTACTCGCAGTTTAGAATTTTGTAAGGATTTCTACAATAATTCCATATAAACGCAAGACACAACGGAGCGGTTGACGAAATGATAAAAAATGAATTAATTTGGCGCGTTATTGCATTTACGAACAAGCACACAATTGGTTTATTTCATTTGAGTTTGTATTTCTGTAATGATATTTCTCCTTTTAGAATTGTTTGTAATTGCGTATAGTTTATTTAGATTTATTTATTTAATTGCAATAGGCAAAATTGCGTTTTAAAATGTGGGACCATCTGGTCAAATTTTGCGGATCTTATACAAGGTTGATTTAAGTGTTTGCGATAATAACTTGCAATACCAAACGAATGCTACTTCATTTCGACAAAATAGCAATATGCCTCAGATGTCTTACGAACAATTGTGTAGGTAGTTGTAAAAATGTTTGTTCAAACAAGCTTTACAAGCTTCTCTTTCTTTCAGGACTTTGCTTAATTTTCTTTTTTTGTGATTCGGAATAAAATTTTGTCATTACCAATGAATTAATTGTGTGTTTATTCGAACCCATTGTGCGACCCGGATAGAGTGAATTATCGTTGGCACCCAGACAGTTATTTAATCAGGATTTTTTACAGGATTAATTACAGAGGTGTAGTGAGCTGGGGTTTTTAATAGAAAGTCGTTTAGAAAAAAGGAGATATCTACAAAGAGGGCGAAGATCGAGAAATATGGGTCTTTGAAATCCTGTAGGAATTAAGAAAAATGAAGAATGAATTAATGGGAAAGACGGATGCGAATATTGCCGAATTAAAGATGCATAATGAGAAAAAAGATGAAAAAATTATTCAACGAGATTGAGGAGAAACGATCGAAAAGAAAAAGGTTAAAACGAGAAATAAGAGAGATACTAGATCGTATGCATGAAAAAAGGAATAGGGTGGTTCAGAGGTTGAGTGGAGAGCGACATGGAAGAACAGAAGGAAGTGTAAGAAATACCCGATGAGAAAAAAGAAGAAAATAAAAAGGTAATAGAATCGAATGGTGTAGAAGAGGGAAATAATAGATGATACGAATAAGGTCGATAGCGTAGAAAATTCGAGTCAAGAAAAACAGAACGAAATGTTGTTTACTGGTAATGAAGATTAACTAATGATCGAGGAAGAAGACTAAGTTGAGGTACAAGCTGAAGAAGTTGTTGAAGTTGAAGTTAAGCAGTAAGAGATTGGAATACAGAAAAAAGAATTGAAGTTAAAGTAGGAAAGAAGTCGAGATTTAAGAAATTTATAGGCAAGGAGATAAAGGGATTGAGTTACCTATTTGTGTTATTGCAGGAAAGGTCATTTATGTAGCCTAGGAAAGGATAAGGATCAGAATGAAATTAGATCTATTAGGACTTATGAGCGTTTACAAATTGTAGCGATTAATTATTTGAGTGATTTAGTTAAAGATGGAAAGAGTAAATGCATTTTAGTTACTGACTGCGAGTGGAAAGACCCTGGATAATGTTAGATAAGGGAAGAGAAAGATTGAGGTAAGAAGGGAAACAGTTTAGGGGAGTTTAACGTAATTTTGATTTTGGGTTCAATTTAAAGGAGGAAGTGTTGTATAAACAATGTCTTGTAGACGTTAATTCAGTTTAATTACGTAACATAATGACGAAACACCTATTATAGTGCATGAGATTATTTAAATTTTTGTACTACCTGTATAAATCAGGTGATTATTAACAGAATAATTAGTTTATTCCATTTGGATTTGTATTTCTGTAGTGTTATTTTGTTTGTAATTGCGTATTGTTTATTTAGATTTGTTTATTTAATTGTAAAACGCAAAATTGCGTGTTAAAATGCGGAAACATTTGGTCAAATTTTGCGTATCATATAAAAGGGTTTGCGATAAAAGCTTGTAACATCAGGCGAATTCAACAAAACTGCACATCTGTTTGGAGACGAGCTGTTTCGCCATTAGTTTTCTGGCAATAATTAAGGTAATTTCATTTCATGCTAGCCGGAATCTATCTACTTCCTCGCATCACAAAAAATCACGTATTGAATAAGAAGGGGGTTAAGTAAAGAACACCACAAAAGGAGTGTCCTAAATATGAAATAGGAACAGTTTTATTTTATTTTTATTAAAAACAGAGAGATAAGATAATAATAATTTAGACGTGAGGAAAATAATAAACTTCCCTGTCTTAATGGATTTCGCGATATCTGATCCTTGAAAAAATTAATGAAACTTTTTCTCTCAATTTAAAAAACTTGGGGATTGGGACATAATTAGTCACACATTTTTATAGCAAAAAATAGTAAATTTGGCTACTCAAAAATTGCTTATCCCCAATTTCACAATAATTATGTAAATATGCCTAGAAAAATGGACGAATGGTAGTTATGGAAACAGCCCCGACGATGACACTTTTATACTTAGAATATGCCATCCCCGGTAATAAATACAAATTAAAATTTCCAGATAAATGAGCTTTATGAGGATATTGAGATACCGAAAGCTTTAAATATAAAAGGATATTGTAATAAAAACGTTTTTACATGAATTTTCCTTTCGGATTGAATAACAAATTTATATTGTAAACACGAATTTTTACTTTAACATAATTTGCTGAGAGGATTTTTGGGTTGTAATCACAACCGATGTATTTCGTTTCCTATACGTTAGGGATAAAACGCCGTGGGCACATGGGAAGATAGCAAGTAGAATTACTTCCACCTGTTATATTCAATTATATTAAGGGTTTGTTGTAGGCGTTTCCTATATTTGTTTGTTTTAGCCATTTAATTAATACATAATGTGAAACTGTATACGGTACACCCTACCTATATGTCTCTAGATATATATACACAAATCAGACGAAAAAATGATCGAGTATTCAAAATAATACCAATATTGCAATGCCTCCACACCCCTCTTTTTGTGGTTTAAATAAAGGCGATCCTTCTTTATATACAGAAAGTATATCAACCCTTATCACTGCGTTGCGGAAAACTGCGCAAAGCGAACGAAGTTTTAAACTATACTAGCAATTAATAATATTCTCATTGTACCTTGCTAATAAACTTTCCTCGAAACCGTTTATAAGTTTCGAAT